GCACACACACAATATTTTACACAAAGGAACCTGTACACGTACTTACAATAGGCATAACATTTTAAAAGTGTTTCACAATTTACAAAAAAGGAATCCAAGTCAGAACTGAAACAGTCATCTTTTTTCCCCTTAAAGCAGAGGAAAAGCTGAGTAGAGAGAAAAAGGATTTATTAAACAACAAAATCTTGCCTGCTTCGGCAAAAGGAAGGAGGGAACGTTGAAATACATTAACTTTTTGTTAGTGCCTTTTGTTCTGTAAGGGTGCATGTTAAAAAGAAAAGTACCCTGACAAACTTCGAGCAAGCAAATGAAACTCTGCAATTTGTATATGTCTACAGAGTTGTTAATCTGTTTAATCTCCAACAGGTTAAACAACTGCCACAAATAGTTTTTAGGGCGTAACAGGGGCCATCTCCTATTAAAACATCATTAGGTATTGCTTGCATGCCTCAAAGACAAAAATTTGATAAATCAAAAGCGATACAATTTTAGAAGCAAGTAAGACTGAAGGAGACATCACAACCTATGTTTAAATAATTCCTTATAGTTAACTTTGTCACAACTGTCATCTAAAACATAGATTACATGCTTTCTGTCAATACAGCACTCATGACTCCACAGGTAACACCTGAAGGCTTAATAAAAAAAAAGGCCTATCAAGGAATAATTTAAACAGTCCAGCAGACTTTCACCTCCAGTACATTACTTCCTGTCCATATGGATTTGGTGGCAGAGGAAAAGAAAGATGTACTGGTAGCTTAATAAGTTTTCACTGATTATTTTTGAGGGGGTGTAGGGGGAAGATAGAAGCTAAAGTAAACTGTAAATATCATAAACCAATAAAACTGAAATGTTGAGATTTTAAGAATGACAACACACACAATTAGACATTTTATGCTAAGAAGTAACTTTGAAAAATGGACCCAGTGCTGTCAAAATATTTTAAATGTGTTTGCTTTTTAATTGCTGTTTGGGGAATGGGCTTCCCCCCCTAGTCAGTAAATATGAAATCACACTTTATAGGTAATTGTACAAGTCTGTTTCTAAACCACTTAAGTCATTAAGTAATGCACATTCAATTTGATCCAAAAAGTCTGAGGAAGGGACTATGTTAATGAGCATTTTTCAGAAGTTAATTAGAAAGTATGTCTCTTAATGTGAAATCCAGGTATTTGAGCAACTATATTTAGCAATATTGCTATGATAAAACTGCATTATTTTAAAAGGGAAAAGCACAATGTCCTAACAAACATTTGACAGTATTTTGATGCTTCTAACAGATGTAACTTGGCACATTTGTCATTTGCTAGTTGAGGGCAGATTTCTTGAAAAGTAGGCTCCAAGCAGTCCTTCAGGTTTTTAAAAACCATGTTCCATGCTGTCATACAGAAAATTTTACCAGGTGTAAACCAGTATCATTACTTTCATTTGACCGCACAAGTTTTCGTGGTTATGTAACAAGTTTCAATGACAGGAATCTCCATCATCTTAAACTGACGCTGCTACATTTGTACATGTATTTTTTTCTTCAACCAGCTTAGTTTGTTTTAGTTCCCCCCCATCTATTGAGAAACTAAAAGAATGGAAACTATTGCTTATTGAGATATAATAAAACATTTCAACAGTATGTAAAAAAGATAGTTTACACAAACAGTTAACAGTTTAATGAACTCTGTATTCTGACTTGGATACCTCCAGTGGTACCACAATGTGTGTGTACTTGTGCAGTTCATCATTGCTGATGACAGCTAAACCCTGTACGACAAGAGCAGCTTCCTTATTAATTACTTGTATGTTGACTTTTTGAACAGCTTCATTAACTGCTTGAATCTTTCAGAAACCTAAGGAGGAGCGGAAAAAGATCACATTAGTAATGTTCTGGATTTCAATATGCAACAGCTCAGATTAATTCTACAGTACTAGAACATTGAAAACATCAAATATTTGAAACCTGCAAATTTTAACTGGAGGA